TACTGAAATGGATGAACTTCCATCTTAAGAAAGGGGGTTACAAGAAAACCGTCTCAAACTTTTCTTCAGATTTGAAGGTAATTGACTAATCCTTTAAGATTGTACTATACGTGCTACTTCTCTTTCAAGCATGCAGAAGCAATATTAAGACTAAAAATGTGAACTATGATGCAATTTGTTGTACCCATTCAAGTTTTTTTTTCTGTGGTAAAGAGTGTTTCTGGTTGATCTTCAGGATGCACAAGCCTATGCTTTCTTGCTTAATGTTCTCGCACCTGAACACTGTGATCCGGCCACACTAGATGCAAAGAATCCTCTTGAAAGGGCTGAGCTAGTTCTCTGTCATGCAGAGAGAATGAACTGCAAGCGATACTTGACTGCTGAAGAGATTGTTGAAGGATCTCCAACTTTGAATCTCGCTTTTGTGGCACAAATATTCCATGAAAGGTTTTATATTCTGATAAACTTACCTGAAACCCCTTTTCTACTTGGAGATTTTACTCTAAAATGTATGTACCTGTTGCAGGAATGGTCTAAGTACGGATGGTAAGTATTCATTTGCGGAGATGATGACAGAAGATGTACAGACTTGTAGGGATGAAAGATGCTACCGGCTATGGATAAACAGCCTGGGGATTGAAAGTTATGTTAATAATGTGTTTGAAGATGTTAGAAATGGGTAAAGCTTTATATATGTTCTGCTTTAGTAAAGCAACCAATCTGTAGAAGTTGAACATGTTGCAATTTGCTGCAGATGGATACTTCTGGAAGTTCTTGACAAGGTCTCTCCTGGGTCAGTCAACTGGAAGCATGCTTCCAAGCCACCAATTAAGATGCCATTTAGAAAAGTAGAGAACTGCAATCAAGTTGTAAAGATTGGGAAAGATCTGAACTTCTCACTCGTTAATGTAGCTGGAAACGATATAGTTCAAGGGAATAAGAAGCTCATTCTTGGTAAGCATTATTACCCTAGAGAGAGACCATGTTTCTGTTAGCTTGATGCAAGAAGATGATGTTTGTCTTTCTGTTATTCAGGTCTCTTATGGCAGTTGATGAGATTCCATATGCTCCAACTTCTCAAGAGTCTCAGGTCGCGGACACGAGGTAAAGATATGACTGATGCAGATATCCTAAGCTGGGCCAACAGGAAAGTAAGAACCATGGGGAGAAAGTCGCAGATTGAGAGCTTCAAGGTACCTTTCTTTATATCAACTTCAAAACACTTATCTTAGTACTAATTATCTCAAATAAATAATTCTTCAGGACAAGAGTCTATCAAACGGGTTATTCTTCCTTGATCTTTTATGGGCGGCTGAGCCAAGAGTTGTTAATTGGAATCTTGTCACCAAGGGTGAAACAGGTTCACTACTCATGCTTACTACTTTCTCTGTTTACTCGAATAAAAACCTTAATTTTGGTTTATGTAATTGTTGAAACATACAGATGAGGAGAAGAGGTTGAATGCTACGTACATAGTCAGCGTTGCAAGAAAGCTTGGATGTTCTGTTTTCTTGTTGCCTGAAGATATTGTGGAGGTAAGAACCATGCTCTATATAATGTATTAATTGATACTTAACTTTATAGTAGAGTTAATGATGGAGGGATGGTGTTTGGGATGATGTTGTGACAGGTGAATCAGAAGATGATCCTAATCTTAACGGCGAGTATAATGTACTGGAGTCTTCAAAAACGCTCAACGGAGAGTTCAGATTCATCGTCAAGTCAGAGTACCACCACAACCTGTACCACCACTAGCACAGACGCGTCTCCTGCTCCGTCTGTCACAGGAGAGGAAGAAGTTTCCTCATTGAGCGAAGAAGTCTCGAGCTTGGCTGTTGATGAGAACGAGGCTGATTCTGTTTCAGACATCATCAGTACTGTCTCAGAGGAGACACCCAACGAATAGAGAGAGTGAAAGAGAGAGACTATATAAGACAGTGTGAGAGAGACCACTATCTCTTGCGAGAGAAATTAGCTTGTGTAATATAATACCACCATGCTCTGTAATCTGTATGTGTTTTTTTTTGTATATTTGTTGTCTTTTTACAAATAAATGAGAAAGGATGTCTATAAGGTTATGTTCCCGGGTACATGTATACAGTTCCTAAGACATGTTCAGAGAAAAGAAAATGTTGAACTCAAAAGGTTTGCACCTACTTTTTTTGGAACAAAAGCATTGAGAGACAGTTACGTGATATGTAGCATGGGGAGCTCTAGCCTGTGGATCCTACTGGACTAATGTTAAGTTCCCAAGGAAAGCAAGTCCTTGTTGTAAGTTGTAAACGTATTTCAAAATAGTTGAAGATGTATTTCAAAATATTTTTTTTAAAAAATGTTCTGACCAACGAAGCAACCAAAAGGTTCAAAATATGGTTTATACATCATCTCGGGTAAAATTATACGGTTAAATTGTTTTTATTTCCTGGTTTAACGTAACCTGGTTTATTATGTAAAAGCACCTTAATTAGGCCGGTTAGGTACAAAAACCCTTGTGGGGAGTTAAAAACTGCCAAGCGACTAAACCTTCTCTGCCAAATAGAGTCTCTCTATGCCTTAGGCTCTCCAGCCTCCTCGGCATCAGAAGCGTAACATATAAAGAAGAACGACTTCCTCCACAATTTCAAACGCTTCCTAAATAAGGTGGCTTATTTTGATTTGATCCAGAAGCAAAAGTCTCTTTCATTGGAACACAAGTTAGGGTTTTAGGTACGAATTTGTGGGATTTTCTCTATTTCAATTGCACACTAGATGCTATTTTGTTCTTCCTTGAAGCTTACGGTTTAGTTGAGCATTGTGATGATACATGAGCACATAGATAGATGTATAATACTTTCTTCTATCTGTTTCTCGAGGATTTTCCTTTTTTTTTCTTATTGCCTTTTTCTAGAGAGTTCGTACTTATAAATAAGGTTTAGGCTTCTGTCGAGAAGTTTTTTTTACTCTTGTTTCTGTTTCGATTATTACCTCTAAAGAGAATACTTGTTAAACATATATTCTCATCAGGTATGGGCACTGAAGCTGTTTCAAAACAAATGATGCATGACGACGATGATGGTGATGATAATAAGCCTTTAGTGTTCAAGAAAAGTTTTGTTAAGGATGGAGACCAATCACATAGAAAACCGTTTGATATCAATGGAGATTCTGAAGATGATGAAGCTCCAATATCTTCAAGGTTTCAAAAGAAGAAGCATGTCAGTGAAATTTCAAGTACTGATCAAAAGAAACTATTGGTTAATAAGAAGTTGCAGAATGATGAAAAGCCAAAGGTATCTGGCAAGAGACTTCTGGAGAAGCACAGTTCTACTACACATCAATCTAATTCCATGAAAAAGCACAAGTCATCCTCTTCAACCGCAAAACAAGATTCTGCAGAAACCGAAAGTTTAAGTGGAAAGAGGAAGGCTGTGGTATCTTCACCTAATGAAACTGATGATGCTGTTCCAATTGCTAAGAGAATCAAGTCAGATTCCTCCTCCAACAATAAAACACAATCTGCAAAGCCTAAAGTAACAAAACAGAGTTCTACTTCATCAACTAGGAAGCCGAAAGTGACAAGAGCAGCTTCTCCTCTGCCCAAGAAAAGGAGCAAGAGACCCAAGAAAGACTCCGAGTATGCAAAGTCTTCAAAATCTTTACCTTCTGGAGACGGGAAAAAGGAATGGACTACACTGGTGCACAATGGTGTCACTTTCCCACCACCTTATCAACCTCATGGGACTAAGATTTTATATAAGGGAAAGCCAGTAGACTTATCTCCTGATCAAGAAGAGGTCATCATCCCTCTCTCCCTTCCCTTAGTGTCATATATATATATTCTTAAAGATCCTCCAAGGGATCAGCTTCATTAATTATTCTGCTGATGATTTGTTACTGTTAGGTTGCAACCATGTTTGCTGTGATGAGGGAGACAGACTATTATAACAAACCTATATTTAGGAAGAATTTCTGGAATGACTGGAGCAAACTACTTGGAAAGAAACATGTGATACAGAAGCTAGATGATTGTGACTTCACACCCATATATGAATGGCATTTGGAAAACAAGCAGGTAACAAGTCAAAAGAGAGTTTCTAACTTTTTAGTTTTATGTTAAACTATAGCTCAAGTTTCTTTCATTTGATAATGTGCAGAAGAATAAAGATTCAAAAGAGCAAAAACAGAAGCAGGGAGAGAAATATATGTGGGCTATTGTAGACGGTGTCAAAGAGAAAGTAAGTGGTAGTTCTCCCCCATTCACATGTAAATCTTCTTCATCTTTTAGGATAGGGTTACTTATTTGTGATGTTTGTCTCTATTTCAGGTTGGTAACTTCATGGTTGAACCTCCTGGATTATTCAGAGGTCGAGGAGAACATCCTAAGGTTCGTTTCTGCATATCATGTTTCATTTAAGAAGTTGCATTTTTGGGTTTAGGGGTTGGCCTTTGATAAACAAGTGTCTATGATCTAATCTTTCAGATGGGAATGCTGAAGAGACGTATACATCCTCATGATATCACTCTAAACATTGGCAAAGATGCTCCTATCCCTGAATGTCCCATACCTGGTGAAAGGTGGTGGTATTCTACTTTTAGTCTCTGGAAAATGCTATATAGTCTCATGTGATAAACAATGTGGCCTTGATTTTTTTTTTATTTTGCAGATGGAAAGAAATAAAGCATGATAACACAGTCGCATGGCTAGCAAGCTGGAATAATCCTGTTGACCCAAAACAAGACAAGTATGTTATGCTTTCAGCTAGCAGTTCTCAGAAAGGCCGAAGCGACGAGAAGAAGTATGAGAAAGCCAGGAAGCTTAAGGTAGTATATGTAGTCCAGATTTCTTCTACAGAGACAGACCATTTTCTTAGCTGCTTAATTTTTTTGTTTGTTATGTTTATGTTCAGGACCACATAGAAAGTATAAGAGAAGCTTACACCAAGAACTTTACTAGTAAAGATGTTTCAAACCTTGGCTAGTAACACAAAGCTTACACCTAGAACTTTACACCAAGAACTTTACTAGTAACGAACCTTGGCTTGCAAATTGAAAGTGAAGCCGAGAACACAACCAATGGGAATACCAACAACATAGTAACAACCAACATTCACATATGCCACGAATGTCTGCCATCCACATCCCACTGCTACTCCTGCAACAAATACAAAACCGATATTTATTTGACTCGGTTTGGTTAAGTTAAATCCAGTTAAGTTTATATGCAGTATACCAGACAAGACGGGTTGGATTCCGTTGAGAATGACAGTGATGGCAAGATAAGGGCAGAGGTCAGAGACGGCCTCAGCCACATCAGCGTCTGACGTGAAAATGTAGCTAATGTAATCACGTGACGCCATCAGGATGAGCGCCTCCCCAACGGAGATCATGAAGGAAACAATAGTCACCGTCCATGTAGAGAACAACGCTGATTTTGGATTACCTGCTCCGAGCTCATTACTTGTTCGTATACTGTCACATATATATATTTCTTTTTCATTTTATGCTTCAGCAGTGTTGGCTAATCATTTGAATTAGTGAAGGAATAAATAGTAACCTTGCAGCGGCGTTAAAGCCGACAGAGACCATGAAGGATAATGCTGAAACTGCCATACTACAAAAAAAAGAAGAACAAGAGTATTTAGATATTAACAAAATTAATAAATATTTATCTTTAGAAGTTATCTCATTATACCAAACATCAAAATAATTTTCTGAAAGTGTTGTATTATCGTAGAAGTTCCAAGACGTGCACAAAACTTTTCATAGGTCTAAAGACGCCTTTTTAACCAAAAAAAAAAAAAACTTTAACCAAAAAGAATAGCACTTCTTATTAAAAAAGGTTTGAACCTGGAACACAAATAAACCAATCTCTTTGCACTACCACTAAGCCATCAACATTTTAGAATTTTTGAAAGTTATTAGTTAAAATTAATGAACTTACCAGATGGAGAGACAGTCTAGAGACAGAGCAGGATCTTTGAGCAAACCAGCAAGAAGAACAAGANTAACCAAAAAGAATAGCACTTCTTATTAAAAAAGGTTTGAACCTGGAACACAAATAAACCAATCTCTTTGCACTACCACTAAGCCATCAACATTTTAGAATTTTTGAAAGTTATTAGTTAAAATTAATGAACTTACCAGATGGAGAGACAGTCTAGAGACAGAGCAGGATCTTTGAGCAAACCAGCAAGAAGAACAAGAATCTGTGAGTACCACGTTTCCAGACATATCATAACAGCAGAGCCAACTGAAAGTTTAAAGAAACTCCAAAGACCTTGGAACGATTTCGAACTAAGACCAGTCCATGTATGTTTAAACTTTTCATTACACGTTATATACAAAGTTTGAGCCGCAACCATAACCCACCAGGAGACTGTAAGAACACAAGCGATGCCCATAAGGCCCATGCCTATTACGTTAACGGCAAACCACGTCAGCAATATTTGGAGGAGAAGGGCAGCGCCTGAGATGTACGCGCTAGGAATCACCACGCTTTGGGCCTGGAGGAACTTTTGGGCCGTGAAGTTGACGGCGTAGGCGAAGATTTGAGGGAGGAGTCCAGCGATGTACAAAGAAGCTGTGTACGACACTGATTTGGGTTCGCCTAACATAAGTAGGATCGGGAATGAGAAGGTGTATAGCACTGTCATGGGCAAACCCACTATAACGAGGACAATTGTTGCTCTTTGGAGATAGATCCCAAGCATATCATACCGTTTGGCTCCATAGGCTTGTCCACATAGTGTCTCGACTGCACTGCCCATGCCTAACTGAAATGAAGCAAAAAAAAAAAATATATANCGCCTAACATAAGTAGGATCGGGAATGAGAAGGTGTATAGCACTGTCATGGGCAAACCCACTATAACGAGGACAATTGTTGCTCTTTGGAGATAGATCCCAAGCATATCATACCGTTTGGCTCCATAGGCTTGTCCACATAGTGTCTCGACTGCACTGCCCATGCCTAACTGAAATGAAGCAAAAAAAAAAAATATATAATGTTTTGTTATATATAGGCTCTCCAGCCTCCTCGGCATCAGAAGCGTAACTTATAAAGAAGAACGACTTCCTCCACAATTTCAAACGCTTCCTAAATAAGGTGGCTTATTTGATTTCATCCAGAAGCAACAATCTCTTTCATTGTAACACAAGTTAGGGTTTTAGGTACAAATTTGTGGGATTTTCTCTATTTCACACTAGATGCTATTTTGTTCTTCCTTGAAGCTTACGGTTTAGTTGAGCATTGTGATGATACATGAGCACATAGATAGATGTATAATACTTTGTTCTATCTGTTTCTTGAGAATTTTCCCTTTTTTTTCCTTTTTTTTTCTTTTTATTATTGCCTTTTTTCTAGAGAGTTCGTACTTATAAATAAGGTTTAGGCTTCTGTCGGGAAGTTTTTTTTACTCTTGTTTCTGTTTCGATTATTATCTCTAAGAGAATACTTGTTAAACATATATTCTCATCAGGTATGGGCACTGAAGCTGTTTCAAAACAAATGATGCATGACGACGATGATGGTGATGATAATAAGCCTTTAGTATTCAAGAAGAGTTTTGGTAAGGATGGAGACCAATCACATAGAAAACCGTCTGATATCAATGGAGATTCTGAGGATGATGAAGCTCCAATATCTTCAAAGTTTCAAAAGAAGAAGCATGTCAATGAAATTTCAAGTACTGATGAAAAGAAACTATTAGTTAAGAAGTTGCAGAATGGTGAAAAGCCAAAGGTATCTGGCAAGAGACTTCTGGAGAAGGACAGTTCTACTACACATCAATCTTCCATGAAAAGGACCAAGGCATCCTCTTCAACCGCAAAACAAGATTCTGCAGAAACCGAAAGTTTAAGTGGAAAGAGGAAGGCTGTGGTATCTTCACCTAAAGAAACTGATGATGATGATGATGATGATGATGTTCCAACTGCCAAGAGAATCAAGTCAGATTCCTCCTCCAACAATAAAACAACATCTGCAAAGCCTAAAGTAACAAAACAGAGTTCTACTTCATCAACTAGGAAGCAGAAAGGGACAAGAGCAGCTTCTCCTCCGTCCAAGAGAAGGAGCAAAAGATCCAAGAAAGACTCTGAGTATGCAAAGTCTTCAAAATCTTTACCTTCTGGAGACGGGAAAAAGGAATGGACTACATTGGTGCACAACGGTGTCACTTTCCCACCACCTTATCAACCTCATGGGACTACGATTTTATATAAGGGAAAGCCAGTAGACTTATCTCCTGATCAAGAAGAGGTCATCATCCCTCTCTCTTCCCTTAGTGTCATATATATATTCTTAAAGATCCTCCAAGGGATCAGCTTCATTAACCATTCTCTGCTGATGATTTGTTACTGTTAGGTTGCAACCATGTTTGCTGTGATGAGGGACACAGACTATTATAACAAACCTATATTTAGGAAGAATTTCTGGAATGACTGGAGCAAACTACTTGGAAAGAAACATGTGATACAGAAGCTAGATGATTGTGACTTCACCCCCATATATGAGTGGCATTTAGAAAAGAAGCAGGTAACAAGTCAAAAGAGACTTTCTAACTTTTTAGTTTTATGTTAAACTATAGCTCAAGTTTCTTTCATTTGATAATGTGCAGAAGAATAAAGATTCCAAAGAGAAAAAACAGAAGCAGGGAGAGAAATATATGTGGGCTATTGTAGACGGTGTCAAAGAGAAAGTAAGTGGTGGTTCTCCCCCATTCACATGTAAATCTTCTTCATCTTTTAGGATAGGGTTACTTATTGTGATGTTTGTCTCTCTTTCAGGTTGGTAACTTCATGGTTGAACCTCCTGGATTATTCAAAGGTCGAGGAGAACATCCTAAGGTTCGTTTCTGCATATGCATGTTTCATTTAAGAACTTGCATATTTGGGTTTAGGGGTTGGCCTTTAATAAACAAGTGTCTATGATCTAATCTTTCAAGATGGGAATGCTGAAGAGACGTATACATCCTCATGATATCACTCTAAACATTGGCAAAGATGCTCCTATCCCTGAATGTCCCATACCTGGTGAAAGGTGGTGGTATTCTACTTTTAGTCTCTCACAAATGCTATATATAGTCTCATGTTTTGATTTTTTTTTTTTTTTTGCAGATGGAAAGAAATAAAGCATGATAACACAGTCGCATGGCTAGCAAGCTGGAATAATCCTGTTGACCCAAAACAAGACAAGTATGTTATGCTTTCAGCTAGCAGTTCTCAGAAAGGCCGAAGCGACGAGAAGAAGTATGAGAAAGCCAGGAAGCTTAAGGTGTAGTATATGTAGTCCAGATTTCTCCTACAGAGACAGACCATTTTTTTAGCTGCTTAATTTTTTTGTTTGTTCTGTTTATGTTCAGGACCACATAGAAAGTATAAGAGAAGCTTACACCAATAACTTCACTTGTAAAGATGTTTCAAAGCGTCAGATAGCTGTGGCTACCTATCTCATTGATAAATTGGCACTTAGAGCTGGTAATGATAAGGATGATGATGAGGCAGACACTGTTGGTTGCTGTACATTAAAAGTAGACAATGTTGAGTGTGTTCATCCAAATATGTTAAAGGTATTATAATTGGATCTTGAAAGTGTTGACACTACTTTCATGTGGTTTGATCTTGACAGACTTTTTTGTTTTTTCCTTTTTAGTTTGACTTTCTTGGGAAAGATTCAATCAGATATGAGAATACTGTTGAAGTTGAGCCTCCTGTGTACAAAGCCATTGGACAATTCAAAGCTGGTGAGTTTAGTTTACTACATGGATTTGAGTTTGTGTTAAAACAGTTATATATCGGTTGGTTTTTTAAAATAGTTGGTTTAACTTTCTATCTATCATCATCTTCCAGGTAAATCCAACTCAGACGATCTTTTTGATGAGATAGACGCAAGCAAACTCAACGCTCATCTCAAGGAGCTTATGCCTGGACTCACAGCTAAAGTGTTCCGTACATATAATGCATCCATCACCCTGGACAAAACGGTATATGACTCTCAGTTTTTGTTGTTGTTGTTTAACTTACAAAGTGTCTGAATCTGATTTTTCTACGTATATAATATGTTTGGATGCTTGTGACAGTTGCGTCGAGAAACCAAAGATGGTGGTGATGTCAACCAGAAAAAACTAGTTTATGATCAAGCAAACAAGGAGGTGAGATTGTTCTAAGTTCCTTGAAAGCAAAAGAGTGATGGGTGCAACCTTTTGATTCTTGACATTGACTCTCTATTCTCGCAGGTGGCCATAATTTGTAATCATCAGCGTACAGTTCCAAAGACTCATTGTGCACAAGTCAAGAAACTAAAAGACAAAATAGATGAACTTAAGGTAAAATCTACTATACCAAGATCTGAATAACCAGAATATGAAACTTTGAGGAATTTTTCTTTATATATTATAATTTGCATTGTGTTTTTTCTTATTGTTACAGGATGGTCTTAAACAACTTAAAACCAATCTCAAGAGGGCTAAAAAGGGAGAAGCTCCATTAGACGGTGCAGATGGAAAGAAAACGAGGAACCTAACTCCAGAAGCGTAAATATAATAAAAACCTACCTAATCACTTGTACAAAGACTTTAAAAATAGAGTAGCTCTTTGAAACTGTGATGTTAAAAACACAGGTGGGAGAAGAAGATAGCTCAACAGAAGATGAAGGTAGAGAAGATGGAACGAGACATGCAGACAAAGGAGGACTTGAAAACTGTTGCCCTGGGAACGTCTAAGATTAATTACATGGATCCAAGGATCACAGTTGCGTGGTGCAAACGCCATGAAGTACCCATTGAAAAGGTATAAAAAAAAAATTTAGTTAATTTGTTAATTATAGAATGTTTACGTGGAGAAATTTTACAGATGTTCACAAAGGCTCTTCGGGAGAAATTTACGTGGGCAATGGACGTGGAACCTGACTTCAGCTTCTAATATTGCAGCAGTAGCCCAAGCTTTGAGAGTAGAGCAAGCGGCTATTAATTTGTTAATTAAGAATGTTTCTATATGCTTAACCAAAGAAATATATATTTTAATTAGAAACAATCCTTATAAGAAACCTTGAGTATTGGATATTCAAAAAAACAGAGCACATTCATTTGATGAAACTAGAAAAAAAAAATCAAAACCATAACTGTATGAGCTGTATCACTCAGTTTTTTTTTTGCCTTGAATTGTCAACAATGGGCCGGGCCTTAATAAAATAATATTAAAGTGACCCAAAGAATAGCGTGGGCCCAAGCCCACCTGGAAGTATGTGAGTTGTGGTTCGGAATGTTTATCTTTAGAACTATGAGGCCAAAATTAAAATATTAGAAAAGAAGTGGGGTGGTTTAGAAACCTGTGTCCGGGAAGAGAAGAGAAGCTCTCCCGGGAAGAAGATGACCTAACTACACACACTAGTTGCAGATTTTTTTTTTGGTTCTTTCGAGAAAATTTTGGTCGATTACTCTGGAATTATTATCAGATTAAGAATCGGAATAAGAAGAAAAGGGGTTAGAGAAATGTCAGACCTAGACAAGCAGATAGAGCAGCTGAAACGGTGCGAACCGTTGAGCGAATCTGAAGTGAAGGCTCTTTGTCTGAAAGCCATGGAGATTCTCGTTGAAGAGAGTAACGTTCAAAGAGTCGATGCTCCCGTCACTGTAAGGGACTTTCCTTTCCCTATTTTCTGGATCTGGGATTCCATGTTTCATCTGTAATGAATTTTGTATTGAAAAGTAGAATTAGGATCTTATGAATCAGTAGAGAGGAATGGTTTCATCAGATCTTTGCCTTTGATACAG